CGTACCAAATTTCCTTCAAAAGTTTTAATGCCATTCGACGAACATTTTCATCGTTATCTTTCAGTGTTTCAATGAGTAATAAAAATATCATTTTGAAATGCTTATCCCAAAGGGAAAATAAATTATCACGCGTGATCTGTGAAAGCACCGACATTGCCCTTTGACGCTCTTCACTTCTGCAAATTATACAAACATAAATGAAATTGTCTTTTAGGCCAGATAATGTTAAGAATGAATTTTGATTATCAATCATAAAGAGTTTAAAAAGTCACCAATCCTTAACGAAGAAATTTTTGTTGAAGATTATATGCAACTTTTCGAAAGTAAGGCTTCCTGAAAAAAACTAACCTTTGGTTATGAAGTGAAAGTTCCTCTCCTATCTTGGTTATCAATTCTTCCTGCTGTTCTGGATCATTCGCGAAACCTTGCGGATCCAAGATGTAACCAGATAACGACTAAAAATCTCTTAATAATTACAAGAAATGGTCTTAAAATACTACTGAACAATTGGACGGTATAGTGTACAACAGCTGTTAAGGCATTCTCGAAAACTTAAATAAGCTGCAATAAAATTGTAGCAGAAAAATTAACAAAATGAGATGGTAAACGAACTCCACTCTGGTCTTCGCGGCTTGCGCGTCGTAATGAAACGCCATCATATGAGCTGCGAGCTGAACCATTTACCAGTTGAGGTGATGCACGAGGAGATGACATAGGTAAGCCTGCTCGTCGATCAACAAAATCATTAATCTACAAAAAGATCGTAAAAGTTTCATAAATCAAGTTTGCAATTTATAAACCGAGCCCGAAATTTTAAATCTACATTAAAAACGATTAACGGAAAAAAATCAAATACATACCTGCGCTGTTGTTTCTAATATACCCGCACGTGCTTCGTTTGAACTAAAATAGTGGAACTATTTTAAGCATTGAAAGAATCGATGCATTAAACCTATTTGTGTTATATACTGCTGCAGCGATTTAACGGATAATATTCAAAATAACTAAAATATATCACTGACGAATGAATAGATTAAAAAATTCAAAATCAATGTTGAAAAAAAATCGTAGTAAATACATTTCGCTATGATATATAAATAAAACGCTGAACATTTTTAGTTTTCCTTCTTTCAAAATGAACAACCATTAAAGCATACTTAATTCCATTGCTGGTTGATAGGCAAAAGCTGTTTCTACGAACAATAGTTTGCAGTCGATCTTTCAGGTCATTTGGAAAAGTAGCAAGCATTGAAGTGAAGTCACTAGCATTTAGATGGAACATGTCACACACGACCTTTTCGCTGATCTATAAAAAGATCACAAAGTTCAGAATTTGAAATAGTAAAGAAGCTAAACATTCGAGTAAAACATCGGTACATCAAAAAACCAAATTTTGCCTTAACAAAAGCAACTCTGACGAGAATATGACTTATCTGCCTGAGTTTCTTTCTTACAATTTTTTCATTCAAAATTTAGCACCCGGAACATTTCATATTAATATCACATAAAAATAAACAACAGCAAAATATAACCTCGAATTCCGAAGCAAATTAACAATGCCTCAACCGTTCAAATCAGTACTTGCAAAATCAAAAATACAGAATAAAATGCATGTAAATTCTCCCATAAGAGCAATAAAAATTTTCAAATTCCAAAATAATACCGATATCAAACAAATATTTTTTGGGTCGTCTACCCATTGGAATATTTTACTAACTGCTTGTCGAACTTCACTTTGGTTCATCGATGGCGCTGAATCCATGCCACGCATTAAATCATGCAAGTACACCAGCAATCCATGTTTTATCTGCAAATCCTCGTTTTTGATTAAAGAATTGCGCAAATTTTAGAAAACGAACTGTATAACAATCTAAAGGGTAAAACATTCTCTCCTGATTCCATTCTGCAAGTTGTAGTACCTTATTATTTCTTGTATCTACTTTAAACATGTATTACCTTGACATTAACGTTATTTCGCACCGGGTCACGTATAAATTTGCAAACAGCATACAATTGCTTCTCTGGATCAAAACTCGTCCGCACAGCTTCCGTCATAACTCGATATTTTTCCAGATTACTGGGTAGAACATCCGTAGAACATTTGGCTACCAGTTTTGGTATCAACAAATTCAACCAGTCGTTAAGTTCCTCATGATAACGACGTACCAAAGCTACCACTGTATCGGCAAGAGGTTGCAAAAGCTGGATTAAAAAGGAGCAATACAAGACTTAGAAGTAATGAAAAATACATTAATTTTCAGTTCTCCTGAGTCAATCTTATTTAAATTAACAATCGGACTGAATATTCTGAACGATATTTTTTTAGAAATTTTTATTGGAATGACTTACATGCAACAAACCATGGCAAGATTTAAGTTACCTACCTTATGCGCACCTTCGCCAATCAATGGATTCAAACGTTCAACGATTTTCTTCAAATCCATCGTATTAATTTGTTTGTCACTTGAAATAATAGTGAACAGTGCTTTTAAGCCTTCTTTCTTCTCTGTAGTAGAGGATGAACCACAGCAAGAAAGTGCAGTTGCTAGCTCCATCGTCTCAAACCTATTATGATGATTTTATTGAATTTTGTAGCATTTTGCTGAATAAAAAAAGAGAGTTGATGCGACTTTGAAAAATATTGAATTTTGGTAGATTTCTTAAGTTTTCCAAAATAAAAATATGTATTTTTATCCTCAATTAAGAGAAAATAGGATGCGTGAAATAACCTTATACGAAACACACCTAAATGAATCACTGCTAACAGAAGCATGATCTTCTGACTCGTCTATCTGGATTTTCTGAAAAGTTCGAAATCAGTAATTTTTGACTAACTCCGCTGAAATACTTGTCGATGTTCAAATCCCAAATTAGATTTTTGCAAAACTTCAAATATATATTTTAATGAACTCTCAAACAATTTCACCTTTCGAATTTATGAAAAAAATGTAGTTTTGCTGCACTTATTGCAATCACACATAAACCAATTAATGAAAGAACTAATATTTAGATCTATTACCGTCCGGCTACTCATTTGTGATCGAGGAGGAACGCGAGTCGGGAAACGAGAAGCTGGTGAAGTACTTCGACTACCTGCTGAAAATTTCAATGATAACTGATAACACATTTGATATAAATCCTTATATTCATGAAGCTCTGTATAACAGGTATAGATATCAGATGCAGATCTACATAACCATAAGATGGCGGTAATTTATACAAATATCATGCAATGCTTATCCGATTCTATCACTAAAAAAACATACGCTGAGATCTAACATAATTTGTTGGTGTCGGTGGTACACGCCGTAACGATGAAACGAACTTCTGCGATGCTGATGATAAACGCTGGGCAGCATTTGTCCTCATTTGAGTTGCTACAAACACAAAAAAGTCTCGTAAGGTAATCATTGCAGGCATTAAAATGATATTTTACTTAAGATACCATTATGTATGATCTTCTGTGGTCTTTTCGGAACTTGGAAAAAAGACACATAAGATTCTAAAAGCAAAAAACTTACTCGAAGGTGTGCCATTTACTTGCTGAAGTGGTCCACCCCACTTAGAAGCTGTTCGTACAGTACGATTTGTGACACGTCTTACTGCACCAGGATCTATATCAGACGTCGAACGTCCCGCATAGTATGAGGGACTTGCTACAACTCTTAGTCATAATAAATTAGTAAAATAAGTAACGGTTTAATAAAATTAACATATAAACTCTCTAATGTTTTAAAAGCAAAACCTAAAAAGAGGAGTCATTTTATAAGACGACACACAGCATAGAATTCTCATCTTAAGAATTCATTAACAGCACGCACAGTACCATTTCAAGCAAATAATTTTAAACTCATAGTGCACGAGTGAAAAAAAAAGAGAACAATATGAAACAATGAGAATACCTTTATGTAATGCATAAGCAGGATTTCGTTGTGTAATAGGTAAAGCGTCTCTTTCAGAAATAATTGATTGTGAGGACGACGATTGGGATACAAAACCAGACAGTGTTCGTTGCCTTGATGGGTCCAAAGTCTGCAAATTTTGCAGAAAAGATGATTTGCTTCGAAAATAATATAATATTCAAAAATTATACCATTAAATGCTAGTGGAAAAGAGTGCCCACGGAAATGTTATTAATTCTGAATTAATGGCATGCAGGATTTCGATCATAATGTTTAATAAGTAATTTCTTATACTTGAAGCTAATTTTAATATTCATTGACTTAGCTCTTTACCTTCTGTTTTAGTAGTTTAATGATGTTAAAGGCAACTACCTAAGACTTGAACTTGTCGCCAGGAAAGGATTCAAATTAGATAAAACTACTGTGAAGACTAACTTTATAAAGCATATCGGCTTGCTTCTTGTATTCTTGGTCTAACTGCATGAAAAGCGCGCGACCCGTTCTGCGTGTTTCTGGATCAGCATCATTTATACTTGCCTGAAAAAATTAACTTTTTACTTATTATCGACCAGCATTATTCCAACGCAGCAGCAAAAAAGTATGAATGGATTTTTTAAAACATCCTTTTCTTACCTTGATACATTCTAAAAAAATATTCATGTTCTTTTCAACCGTTTTGCTATCCCAAAGAGTTAACGCCATTAAAAACAATGATGCCGTATTCCTGAAACAGTGAGCAATATTTTTGGAAATTTTCAAGAAATTAATTTCAACTGTTGACTAGTTTTTCATGAACTTCATCGCGTTTCGATTTTTCGAATTTTGGAAATTGAATTTACCTTCTAATCTCTTTTGATTTTGAAGACATTGCAGTTTGCAAATGTGGAAGTAATTTGGCACTACATATATGTTTAACAACATATTGCAAAGCAAGCTGGGCACTTGTTGCCATTACCTTAAAAAAATGCATATAACAATGATCATATGTTAAAGAATAAAATTCGATTTTAATAAATATGTGACATAAAGAAAGCAATAACCTTGGCACTATTCTGCATTAATAAAATAAGTGTTGGCATCAGTGCTTCTATTACGCTAACCATTCCAATCCCCAATCTTTCACAGTAGAAACTGAAACATGGTACAGTCTATTGTAGATTCATACCAATAGTTTGATCAAGATCAAGACTAACCTGCTAAAAAAAAGTATATTTTGGTAGAAATTTGATAATTTATTAAGTAGATTAAAATAATTTATTCTAGAAAACTATAAAGTAGGTAATCCTAAGTGTATAATCAGTATTAATCGAAAACCAGTTGCTATATATTTTTATCTTAACCGCAAATGCAAGTAACGTACGCAATGGTAACGCATGCTTCGCGACACAATTGTGACCGCAAATCTTTAACAGAAGTGAGTAAAGCTGCCTGCATTTCACGTGTTTCTTCTGAGAAGTCTGAGTAATCCAAGCCTCCTCCAATAATCACTGCACGCAATGTTTTTAGCTGTAATTTGAATGCTCAGAAATAATACTGACACAATCATGTGAGTTCATTCATTAAAATAAAGAGTATTTGTCATAGAAAATCTTCTCAACAGAATTTCCGAAATATTCCACGAAAACTGAAAATTTCGTAGAACTTCAGAACAGAAAATAACTCACCGCAGTCATACGGCGACTCCAATCTAAATCTGCGTTTTCAAGAACTGCACATGCTTCGCTGATCTGATCCTTTAGTTGCTTGGACGAAAATACCTATATTTTCAAATCCTCTATTTCAGTATCTCCAAATTTATACATCTTGTGGCACTGGTAATCTGTCACTATAGATAAATGTATTGAAGATTTAAACCTCCAAAGTTTAGGCATAAAAATGTCTGTACAGCCGAATTCATTGCTTCAAATTAAAAAGCAAGAAAACGGCAGGCAAAACCGTATCTGAGTAATACATCTATGTAAACAAAAATCATTACACACATACGTTGCACTTCGGAACCTCAGTAAACGCTCGTTGGAAAGCCTCATCGCTTACAGAACCAGCACTGCCTATAAAAAAGTAAAATTTTATAAATGAAAGAATTTTGTATGATTGCTAAAGGAGGATGACTGACATCTCTTACTTTTACAGCATCACCAATGAAAGAATACTTTTTCTTAAAGAATACACGGACACTAACAATCAGAATAAGCTTCCTCAAATATGCTGTGCGGTAGATGAATTCGATATAATCCGAACTTACTAGATCCCTTGGTAGAAACAATAAGCGGTCTTTTATGGGCTGGTACACTGCTCGCTCGTTGCCATGCTGGTATTACAGTCGAATTTTCTTGCTCCTCCAACAGCTGTCCCTTACGCGAGCCAACCATGCCCCGATTCGCTAAGAAATAATATGTCACTTTCGTTCAACTTTTTACCATTAAGCACAAAAATTCCCAAAAATCTCTTGTTCAACAGTATTTCTTCAAGAAATTTCTCTTATCAAACCAAAGTGAAAGATTTTTCACATACAAAAAGAATTTAGCGAGAGAGTACTACAGTAGTGTACTAAAACATCCCTCCACTCTCTCTCCCAGTCGCAAGGATAGTGTTTTCTTCGAATATATAAACCGATGGAGGTGTGCACAGAAAATGAGTCGAAGCAGTAATAGAAGTATTCCACTTCCCCAGGTATATACACTCGGATAGAGAGTTTGCAACATTCATCACTGCTGCATCTTACAGCCAACACACACTCTTAGACCAACAAAAAATAGACAGACGAGCAGGACGACATCCAGTACACATCACCACGCACACGTGAGGGGTATACATCCATGTACAAACAGGCTTACACGTATTGAAACATATCTAACGCACAGAAACATATACGCAAGCAGATTCACAAATAAACACGTATACACATCAGTTTTATTCCGAATCTTCAAAACGAATAGGGATTTGAAGGGCGGAGCGACAAAAATAATAAATTGCATTTATTAAAAACAAACATCCACACAATTAAAATCTACATTCTGTCCTGATGAACTCGAGTATACATATTTGGTCTACGCCAAATCTACAATAATATATTTCACTATTTTCATGCCATTTCGATTCGCATTGAAGTACACAGTACATAATAGAAAATGAGTGAGAAAATTAATACACCCTCTGTAGATCTTTAAATCGTAGCGTCACTCATGAAAATTTACTATCTCGCTGTTACAATTTGTCGCTTTGAAGCAAAAAATCAATAAATCCGTTCTGTCAGTAATACATTGTTATTAATGCAATGACTGTAATAATCCAAAACGATATTAATAAAAATCAGTGTTGAGGGCTATTATTATGCGATAGAAATTTAGTATTGTAATATATTATTGTGCAACTGGAATGAAAATTATGAGGCCGCTGAATTACAAACATCGATTTAAAAATTACAAATATATGTAGGAGGTAGTCGATTGCTGCATCAATTGTAGGAGTAATAAATTTTGGAATCATTCTACTCTGGAGTAATGTATGTGCAGTAGCAGCCAGGACATTAGGCAGAGAAATTACCGCTTAAAAAGTGGCAACCGTTAAATTAACAAAAAGCCTAATACATTAGCTATAAATAAACACAATTAAATGTTTTACAATAACTAAGACAAAAAGTTGGTTAAAAGGGAACAAGATTCTGTTTATAGCAGACATATCAATGCACCAGTTCCCTACCTATTTGAAAAAAAAAAACTTCTTTAATAACAACAGGTTTAGGCCTTTTCAAAAATCTATATGGAAAATGAAAAATTTTGTCTTTTTTAATGTCTCACAGAAGAAAATATCTAGAAAACAGGAATTTGTAGCAATTTGTAGATACGGTGTTATTCAACTACAGCGGTAATTAATGCCGGCAAGTATAGGAGAAAATTTTCAGAATTGAAAATAAACATCAAATTCTAAGAGGATAAATCCGATATGGAAATTTGGATTTTAAAAACAAACCGAAAATCTTTCAGTACGAATTACTGTATGAAGTTTATTGAGAAAATAAACTTGGAATTTCGAAAAAAAGTGACTCTATGACACTGCATGGCATCTCGCCCTATAGAAATCATGACGTCCTTAATTACTACAAATACATATTTAATCATCTAAGCTATTTAATTAATTCCTTCGCTATTAATATATCCTTCTCTCCCTACAGTAAATAGAAAACAAACTTGAGCAAAACATGTAGCATTTTAAGTATGAGGAGCTACTAGCATAGTATAAAAACACCTTACCAATAGCAGATGTGATTAAAGGAGGTTTCCTAAACATGCGGCTGTTGTTCTGGTAATTTCAAAGTATCTCTGAAATTTTGATGAAAATGAACAAAAGTAATAGTTATGAATAGCAAACGGCAAAATAAAAACTTCACGTATTCGTGTATTTTCTAGATAATAGTAACAATCCATGACTTAAATTTTTTTTAAAAAATCCACTCTAACTTATGCACGACAGAAATGATATCGCTGATATGCCTTCATAAGATTAGTAAGTAGCCTATCTCGCTTATTTCCTAAAAGCTGATCTGCATTCGTAGTATTATAAAGGATTGACAAAAATTAGATTGTATCGTACACTTTCGTATTTTCGCAGAAACCAAAACACACAGCCTATTCAGCGATTTAGATCATGTGATAGAGATTGCTCGAAATGATATGCAAATAGATAACCTGACGATCTTTAGGAACAGCGTGTAATTCCAACCATACAACTGCATAAATTAGATGGGTAGTAGTGAAGACAATAATTCTTACGACTGAATAGACATACAATGAGGGAAGAGAACAAATCAGGAATAGAATATTACAGGGCAGGACATTAGAGGATGCAACATATATCATGCCGAACGTATTTACAATTGAGAATGCTATAAGAAGAAAAAAAAGACATCACTTGACCCTAACCAAATTTTGCCTTATAATACTTTATCTCTAATATCTCTTCTATATTCATATCATTCTAATTGAGATTTCTAATTTTATCAACCAGTGCCTCAAAAACCTCAAAAACAATACTATTGTTCGTCATCATTTGGAACATTACTTTGATATGTCCATCAACAAAATTCAAACCGAAAAAATTTGAAATCGAATTTTCAAATGTCTTCTTGAAATCGTTAAGTTAAAAATACCTTCAGAGAGATTCCATTCTAACTAAACGTCGATGACCTGTACTTATTTCCTCACAAATCGTTCAGTTCACTCTCAAACTTGCAAACAGTCAGTTAGTTCGCCTACCACTGCACCAAACGCCGCACGCAAACGCCACGCAGCAAATGGAATTTTACCGCCTTTATTAATTGAGCGCGCTAATTTGAAATTTAAAAGGTCTTGGAGGGAAAACCGGATAGGAGTAACACTCGCTGTATGAATGAATAGGAATGGACGGTAAGAATTTGTGCAGGATCTTTTTCGGGCCAGTGATATATTTGGTTCGGGGAGAAGTATGGTCCAACATATCTTTCGATGATGGATCAAGAGAATGTTTTCTTTCTTAAACAGGTCAGTAACCCTTGATCTTTAGGCACGCAATATTACACAGCAACATACGACTGGAACAAAATAGAAATGAAGACGATCTGTCATAGTTATCTTTCTTAAGTGTCACTTTATCAACTTATAT